GTGATCGCGTTCTAATACACTACTGGACAATGAAATATCATATTTGAAAAAAGATCGTCACTTTTGCGCGTCTGTAACTCCCTTGTCTTTACCGTATTTCTAAATATTAATATTACCATTGTGTAGCCCTTGAAAAGAGCTTTCAGAAATGTATAACACTAATAGTTTAAACTCAAAGACAAGGGAGTTACCGACGCGCGAAAGTGACGATCATTTTTCAAATATGATATTTCATTGTCCAGTACTGTAAATCGATCTTTGGAATATCAAATTTAGTAAACAGTGAAGAAGCTAGAATAATCTAAATCTGGAAAGAATGGATTTAATGAATCTATGGCTTCATTTTTGAGAAATCACCGTGCAAACTTTTTCTACGAACTTTCTTTCCAACCTAATCGAAATAGTTCTTAATCGATCATTTTTTAATCGAACTGAATATCTTGATATTATTTTAATAACTTTAAAAGCTATTCAATGCAAATGTAAATTCGATTAGATCCAGTAATCAAACTTTTTTTTGGACTTTTTCTAGACTCTACGAACTCTACAAAATTTTTAGAGGATCAATCAAGTGTTTCTTTACCGAAACGTGACAAATCAGTGATTAGAAGGAAACCAAAAAAACAATGAATCACTGGGAAACTATGAAACAAGATCTAATCCAAGAGAGAAAAAAAAGTCAGAAGAAAAAATTTTCTTATTGAAACGATTTTCTCTAGGCAACCCGATGAAGAGAGGACTCGCGTGTTCACTTTTCTTTGCCATTTTCATCCAAAAAAACCCAAAAAGAATCCCAAAAAGAATCCTAAAACCCCAAAATCCCAAAATCCAAAAGAAGAATAGCAAAAGTTTCCCTTTTTTTGACTTTCTAGAACGATTATATTTGAGTTTTTAAGGAGAATTTTAGTACAAGTACAAGTACAAGTACAGTATTTTACAAGTACAAGTAAAGTACAAATAAAGTTAAGCTATTGAAGTTTAAACTAAAATAAGATTTTGGAAAATTTTCTAAATTTCAACCTATTCAAAAGTGAAAAGTTGAAAGAAAATTTGAATTTCTTCAAGTTTTAAAGAAAAAACACCGGGGGTGGGACAAATGTGACCTTTTTTTTGCGCACCTGGACATTTGCGCACTTTTTTTTGCTGGAAAAGGCCTTAGGAAAGGTCGTAGAGCTTCGAAAATAATTCCATGTAAGGGAATCGTATGCGTAGATTCCGAATTTCGACAAATCAGACCTCGCTGACACGTCAAATTTGGGCTAAAAGCCAAAAACTACGCAACTTAACGCTTTTCCGCAGTTTTGCCTTTTAGCTCAAATTTGACGTGTCAGCGAGGTTTGATTTGTCGAAATTCGGAATCTACGCATACGATTCCCTTACATGGAATTATTTTCGAAGCTCTACGACCTTTCCTAAGGCCTTTTCCAGCAAAAAAAAGTGCGCAAATGTCCAGGTGCGCAAAAAAAGGTCACATTTGTCCCACCCCCAGAAACACCACTTATTCAAATAATATTAAAAGTATTTAAAAGAATTTAAAGGCTATTCAGCTATTCATTTAAATGATTATTAGATTTTTTCGATAAGACTTTTTTAACCTGACTTTGAACATTTGATTTTCCCAGAGTGATACACGAGAAAGCGGTGATTGAGGAAAACATTGTTTTTTAAAATATAATACTTTAAATCAATATAATTATGTTATACAGAAAAAATATTTAGATTTATAATAAGTTTTAAGAATATTCAGTTAAGCATTTTCTCGAGAAATCAATGTTTTTACATTATATCGCAAAAAACCCTAAATTTTCGTTGCACCGTGGGAAAAAGTGGAACAATAAATTTTCTCGAAAATTAACTCAGAAATGATCAAGCTATTTAGCTAAAGGAAAACTTGATTTGCAAGATTTGGAAAAACGAAATCCCTTTTTTTTCTTTGTTTTATTGCTTCTATTTAGAATTTCTATTTATATAAATGCTTTATTCAAAGGGCGAATAGAAGCGAATCAGATACTGTATTCTCTCTAATAGTATTGTACCCTGAGCGCTGCCTAAATTGCTCAATATCTCGAAAAGCGCTTATCAGAACCTATCGATGTGGGGTCGGAAAATGTAGCTGACGATGAGATCTTGCGGGGGATTAGGGTGTTGAGCTTCTGGGAAAGATTGGAAACCGTAAAATAGGCATCAACTCGGCTCGGTACGGTGCACTACTATTAGAGAGAATACGGTAATCAGCAAAAGATATCCTACCTAAATGTACAAAGAGAATATGCAGATTTTGGTCTAATCTCAATCTAAAATCCTTTTGTGATTTCAATACTTCAATACGGTTCGATTCCAGCGGCTGGAAAATTTAGATCTTTTTCCATATACCGTAATCTCTCTAATAGTAGTGCACCCTGAGCGTTGCCTAAATTGCTCGAAATCTCGAAAAGCGCTTATCAGAACCTATCGATGTGGGGTCAGAAAATGTAGCTGACGATGAGATCTTGTGGGGGATTTGAGTGTTGAGCTTCTGGGAAAGATTGGGAACCGTAAAATCGTCACCTACTCGGCTGGGCGGTGTGCACTACTATTAGAGAGAATACGATAGAATAAAGAGTATAAACATAACCGCATATAACAATTTCGAATTCCTTTGAGAATTTGAGAATATTCAGAACTTCTTTAAGGTCAACTTTATTGACAAAAAGACAAGAAGATTTCAAGAATTATGATAAAAATGGGTAAATGTAAATCTGTTGCTTTAGAAATGTTATGTTGTGTGTGATCACATCACTCTTGGCTCTTGTTTTATTCAATCGTGCCTCCTTTCATTATGAGTATTGTAAAGTTTTTAACATTGCCAAATTATTTTAGATTTTGAACTGATAATTTCAAATATAATTGTTTGAAATTGTTGTTGACGACGAATTGACGTTTTCAAATTTAATTCTTTCATATTGTTTCAAAATTGTTTCAAAATTGTTTAAAATTGTTTAAAATTGTTTAAAATTGTTTCAAAATTGTTTCAAAATTGTTTAAAATTGTTTCAAATCATATCGTCTTACAAATTGGCTGCTATATCTTTCACAAAATCTTCTCCAAAAACTCAAAAAGCTAAATTTTTACATCTCAATCTTTTGAGCTAACTTTGTTGTCACAAAGTGAAGAAAAAGATTAAAATTTGGATCTTTAGAGCTTTAAACTTAACCGCAAAAAACAAAAGAAGTTCAAGTAGTTCAAACCAGAAACTAAAAGCTATGTTGAAAAGTTATTTTTCCGCAAGAGAGTTCCAATGTTCTTATGACAAAGAGAAGGCGGAGAAACCCATAAATGAGCCAATAAAGGCCGATGATGTCGATGAATTGGAAACGAACGGGGAAAAAAGGAGAAAAATCCGAATGGAGATGTTTTCATCAAATCGATCTAAAGCCTTTTTTAATAAGAAAACTTTTGATATTTTAAGAAATACGAAATTTTTCGGTGGCTAACGAATTCTCGCTCGCCAAAAGGTCATCAATTAGATGAATTTTTATATTTGAAGCTATTAAGGAAGCATTTAAGGGATCTATTACCGTATTCTCTGTAATAATAGTGCACCCTGAGCGTTGCCTAAATTCATTGAAATCTCGAGAACCGCTTATCAGAACCGATCGATGTGGGATCGGAAAATGTAGCTGACGACGAGATCTAGTGGTGGATTAGAGTGTTGAGCTTTTGGGAAAACTTTGGAACCGTAAAATAGTCACCAACTCGGCTCACCGGGGTGCACTACTATTAGAGAGAATACGGTAGTTGTGCAATATATAGATAAAGATCAACTATCACTTTCACTCATCGCTCACTTGATTAGCGTTTCAATTACTGAATAGCAAATAGTTAAATAGTTGAAGACCGTATTTTCTCTAATAGTAGTGCACCCTGAGCGTTGCCTAAATTCCTCGAAATCTCGAAAAGCGCTTATAAGAACCTATCGATGTGGGATCGGAAAATGTAGCTGATGATGAGATCTAGTGAGGATTATAGTGTTGAGCTTCTGTGAAAACTTGGGAACCGTAAAATAGTCACCAACTCGGCTCACCGGGGTGCACTACTATTAGAGAAAATACGGTATACATCATCAAAACATCAATCTTTACCGTAATCTTGACTCCAATTTCTATCATTATTTTTAAGTTATTATACAAAACTTCAAACTTGTTTTTCTCTAAACAAGAAAACTTGGAAACCGTAAAATCGTCACCTACTCGGCTTACCGGGGTGCACTACTATTAGAGAAAATACTCTATTTTAAATTTTTAAATATCAAGTTTAAAAGATTAGAATTTAGCTTAGAAAGCTTTTTTTTAGACTTTAGATAAAGTCTTTTGCGGTAAAAACGGTAGCACAAAGCTCATCTGACAATGAGCAAAGGACAGAGCTCTAACTTTGCGCAACTCAAAACTTGAGTGAGAATCTTTGATTGTTTCCATTCAGACATAATATAAGGTAGCTGAAAAGCTTATCTTCTTCGAAAATGGGTAATTTTAAGAGAAACTTTTGAGAATTCAGCGAAATGGCGTTGTTTTTCAGATTCTCTATAAAGAAATATACATAAAAATTCTCCGAATAAAGCTAGCAATCTAAAAATTTGATTCTTGCTGTGAAAATGCATAGAGAATTTGAAAATCAACACCGTTTAGCTGGATTCACAAAAGTTTCTCTCAAAATTTACCCATTTTAGGAGAGAAGACAAGACTTTTCAGCCATCCTGTAGATGTATCTCTTTACTATAGAAAGTCTATTTGTTAGATATTTCTTTTTTTAAGGATATGCCTAAGTACTACAGTATCTAAGCAACACAACATCTCTTTAATCCCTGCTAAGCCCGATTTTCAAAAAGTTCTCAACTTTCTTCCTTGAGTATGGTATCCGGGTTATCTTTTGTCGAGCTAAAGACAAAATTCGGCTAATAAACCATTCATTTGTTCATGTAGAATGAAGAAATTTCTTTAAAACTTTCTTAAACTTCTTTTTACCTTTGCACCCAGCTTGTTTTCGGTGGATGATGATAGCGTTGAAGCATTGCCATCGGGCTGAGGATCGACACTTGAGCGATTGGGTCCAGCCCGGAGATCTTATGACTTTGCGACGTTTTGTGCACTCTTGCGAACATTTTATTTGACTTAAATATTGTCAAACAAGTGAAACATCTTTGAATGTACGTTTGAAGGCTTGAAGTACGGAGGATTCAAGTCTGAGAAAGCTTTTCGATCCGATTAGATGTGAATGTAATTCCAGAATTTGGAATTTCTGGAAGTTCGTTGGATTGTTCTTTGAATTGTTCTTTGAATTGAGTATCTGATTGAAGATAATGAATGAATGAAAATGAATCTTTTAAAGCAGCTGTAACAGCTGTAAGTCACAGATTTGAATGGATTCAAGAACTGTAAGAACTTTGATTGTTCTCAAGTCAAAGTCAAATTTCTAGCAAATGAACCAAATCGATTCAAGTAAAGAAAATCTTTCTGAATCTTTTCAATCTGACAGAATTGAGTAATTAAATAGTTCAAATTCGATTGAACTCTCAAATTTGATAGAATTGAACAATTGTAGCTTCAAGATTTGATCTCTAGATCAATTGTAAATCCAGAAAATTGTAGATCTTCTGAGTATCGTCAAAAAAAAGTGACGTGTTGATTACCGAGCTCTTTTCATCCACGAATCCAAAAGAGAATCAAGAAGAGAATCACCGTGAAGTCGAATGGAAGAACTCGTTCTCCTTTCGCTCTTTCTTTTCCTGTTCTTTCTGGTCCTTTCTTCTCTTTTTTTTCTCCCAATTTTTCTTCAGATTCCCCCAAATGGATTCCTCTTTGGACTCCTTTTTCTTTTTTTTCTTTTCCCGAAAAGATTCGATTTGATTTGATTCGCTCGAACGGTTCTCTACTGCGTTTTTTCTTTTTAAGGAGTTCTCTCAGCTCTCGTCGAGTACGAAAATCACTCTATGAAGCTCTTTAGAGCTTTTTCTTGAGCTAAAATTAACAAATTTGAGTATAAAATTAGAAAGTAATGGGTATAGAGGTGAAATAAGATTATCTTTATTTACAAATGACAATTGATGGACTTTAGCTTTAAGTCAAAACTATTTCAAATTCAAGCAAATGAAAGGCTAAAGATATTCAAGCAGCTTAGAAAGTCAAGTGTGCCAGGAGCCATGTTTTTGGCAATGAAGAAAGCACAGGTGACGACTATGAGTACCATGTGCCTGAGTAGACTTTGTGCTTTAGGAAACACACACGATCTAGCAAACTCGTTAGCACACCTGTCTCTTGATTGAAGATACAAATTGAAGACAAATCAATAAAATGACCAACTTCGAAAATGGAGTTTCGTTTGTCAGAAAGGACTTGTTTAGGAAAGCATAAAGGACAGACCGGATTTAGCTCTGGGAAAAAAGAATTAAAAAGTCAATGCTAGAATATTCTATGAATCAATCGGGGGAACTATATGAAACTCCGAATCATTCGTGCAATGCTTGAATGACTTTCTGGCCTTAATTTTCATATAAAACAATAGAAAGTTGCTGAAAAGGTCAAAAATCTCGCAAAATAACAAAAAAAAGCTTAAGTGCTTATAAAACTAGAAAAAGAAATAAATGCTGAACTTGTTAAAGCTGAATAACTCAAAAACTTGTTAAGACATACCGTATTCTTTCTAATAGTAGTGCACCCTGAGCGTTGCCTAAATTGCTCGAAATCTCGAGAACCGCTTATCAGAACCTATCGATGTGGGGTCGGAAAATGTAGCTGGCGATGAGATCTTGTGGGGGATTTGAGTGTTGAGCTTCTGCAAAAGCTTGGAAACTGTAAAATAGTCACCAACTCGGTTCGCCGAGGCGCACTACTATTAGAGAAAACACGGTAACAGTGAGAAAATGAACAAATTTAAACAATATAGAATAAAATTCAATTACTGAATAGCGAATAGTTAAATAGTTGAAGACCATATTCTTTCTAATAGTAGTGCAACCTGAGCGTCGCCTAAATTGCTCGAAATCTCGAGAACCGCTTATCAGAACCTATCGATGTGGGGTCGGAAAATGTAGCTGGCGATGAGATCTTGCGGGGGATTAGAGTGTTGATCAATCTGCGAAAGCCTGGAAACCGTAAAATAGTCATCAATTCGGCCCACTGGGATGCACTACTATTAGAGAAAATACGGTACTTTGTGCTCAAACTTGTAAACACCTTTCTTCACTGATTTCTTCATTTTCTATGTGAAAACAAGTCATTTCTTGAAGAAAGATGAGAATTGAGTGCACTAGAAAGGATGCGTTTGAGACAGCAAAAAGTCGAGATTGAAAAATTGATAAACGCCTAAATTTTTCTGAAATCCTTTTGATGAAAAAAAAATTGTGCAGTAAATTTTGAGAAACAGGAACTTTTTCCCAAAGAATTTTGTGCCTTTTCTCATTTTTGGCAACAAAAAAAGGATTACAGACTTTTTTTTTTGGAAATAATCGACGGCTTTTCTCGTTAAAATTTAAGTCTTACGAGGACAATTTCTCTCTTTTCTTTTTCGTTTTTCTTTTTCTTTTCTTAATGACGAAATTGTTTTGTTTTGTTTTTTAAGGAAATAAAAGACATTTTACATAAAATAAATTTATAAAGCCTTTACTTTCATTTGCACCTTAAATTTGCATTTGCACCTTTGTTTACCTCAAAATAAAATGGCCATTTACTTGCCTTGTGAAGTGAGCGACTAAAGCAAAGAATTAGCCCCAATTACGTCAACTTTCCAAGAGACTCAAAAGTCAATTGTATCGAATTTAAAGTCAAAATTCCGGTGGTTAAAGCCAAGGGCAATTAATAAAGGACAAAGCGGTTAGTATACAGGCCTATAAGCATCCATTGCCAAAAATGAAACGGCTATTTTTTTGCATTAAAAGCTTTTCCTCCGAGATGAATTTGAATTTCCGGTGGTTAAAAGGAAAAAAGAAAGGAAATCTTCTTGAAAAACTGGGATAATCTGATAATTTCGAATCCACCCACATGTTTAAACAGAGATAAAAATAAATTACAAGAAAATTATATTAAAAACAAAAATTTATACTCCAAAACGCTTTGTTTTTCACAAAAATTTGCATGATTTCATAATACCGTATTTTCTCTAATATAAGTGCACCCCGGTGGGCCGAGTTGGTGAGGATTTTACGGTTTTCAAGCTTTTGCAGAAGCTCAACACTCGAATCCCCCACTAGATCTCATCGTCAGCTACATTTTCCGACCCCATATCGATAGGTTCTTATAAGTGCTTTTCGAGATTTCGAGGAATTTAGGCAACGCTCAAGGTGCACTACTATTAGAGAGAATACGGTATTCTTTATTCTCTCTAATAGTATTGCCCTCTCTCCCTCGGCCCGGCCGAGCCGAGTTGATGATTATTTTACAGTTTCCAAGCTTTTGCAGAAGCTCAACACTCGAATCCCCCACTAGATCTCATCGTCAGCTACATTTTCCGACCCCACATCGATAGGTTCTGATAATCGGTTCTCGAGATTTCGAGGAATTCGGGCAACGCTCAGGGTGAACTTCTATTAGAGAGAATACGGTATATCTTAACAAGTTTTTGGGTTATCCTTACTTTAACAAGTTCAGCATTTATTTCTTTATTTAAAGAAGTTGTTTATATTAAAGCTCAAATACTGTTTACTTTGAGCTGAATGATGGAAACGCATCCTCTCTGGCTTTCTCAATGATATTCAGTCAACTGGTGCGCTTCTATTAGAGTATTTACGATAGATTAAAGTTTAACGTTTTTAATTTTTAATTCAAAGAGGAATAAAAGTTAAAAGCTGAGTTAGGACCATCTTCTTTAAGTGTAAATAGGATTTAATTCTTTAAAAATGATCAGCTTGACTTTAATAGAGATTCTGAAAGAATAGAAGAGACAAAAGATTTATTACAGTAACGTGTTTGTAAAAGAAACTAGTTAAATAACTTTAAGACAGATTTTGTAATTATTTTGAGAAGATCTAAGATCTAAGAATGAAGATCTAGACTTTTAAAAGTGATCTGATTGGTTTGAAAGAATTTTTAAAGAATATAGAACTCAGCATCACTCAAGGATTGGATGAAAGACATGGAAAAATGGAGATAGATTTTGTCCATCTTTCAAAGAATCCAGGAAAAGGGAAAAGGGGGAAAAAAAACGGAAAAACGTCTGCCATTTTTCGAGGCAAAAGCGCTCGACTGACGACAAGTTCTCATCTTATTGAAGTCGACGAAAATTTCTCTCCGCGAATTTTTCCTTACTAAAAGAATTTCGTTACCGACTGCTTTTCACAACGTCAGTTTTTTTTGAGAAAATTTTGAATAGAACTTCAGTTATTGTGAACGCTCAAAAAAAAAATCGCATTTCTTAAGGGTATAGACGAATTTTTTCGGGGAAATTCTTTGGATTCACATGCAGAAAATTGAGTTCAACATTTCCAAAGGTTGTTTTGTGACAGAATTTCTTTTTCGTTTTTCGTTTTTCGACAAGTTTTTCGACAATTTGAACAAGTACATATCTTGGATTTTAAAATAAAAGAGAAGAATGTCTTTTGGGTAGATTGTAGAGTGAAAAAAAACAATATAGTAAACATAAACTTTGGGTTTTACTTGGTGCTTTCTTGCTTTCTAGGAAAAACGTTTTCTCATAGTTAGAAAACGTTCGAGTTGGGGTTTGAGTGACGTAAAAAAATCTATAACCATATCGTAATCTTAAACAATTCCAGGTAACAGTGTGAATGCGCCCTTTCTAGTGTGCTGATCATTTTCCTCAAAGAAGCAACTTGGTGTCATGAGAAAAATGATGATTTAAGTGCATCAAAAAGTGTGAGTTTACAGATTTATGCACAAAGTATTTCTATTTTAGAAAATCGTTAACCCAATTTGGATTTTCAATGAGAAATCTTTTTGTTCTCATTGTTTGTCAATGACACGTCAATGACAAGGCCTATTGTCCGTCAATGACAAGGCCCATTGTCTGTCAATGACAAGGCCTATTGTCCGTCAATGACAAGGCCCATTGTCTGTCAATGACAAGGCTCATTGTCCGTCAATGACAAGGCTCATTGTCCGTCAATGACAAGGCTCATTGTCCGTCAATGACAAGGCCCATTGTCTGTCAATG